GTGCAGAGCTCAGGGAGTGATCCACTCAGCGACACAGAGTCTGCTTCTGCCTCGTCCTCCCTCGCTGCTGATTTACCCCCCTGCCCCAGTCCTGCATCCTCATCCACGGGCAGGGTGACAACTGACCTCACAGGACTGTTGTCAGGACTGAACGACCGCGGTTGTCCACCAAATGTGAGGTGCTGTTGGTTATGAAATGAACCATCCTTTTATCTGCCATGAATGCACCCACATTCCAGAGCTGGGAAAACGTGAGAAATGGGGGTTAGCCTCAAGTCAGTGAAGTAGACGTTAAAAAGGTATTGCACGCCCCGCGCTTACTGAGGTAGCCTGGTTTATTATGTGCTGGGTCAAGCACTGTTTACGAGTCAAGAGAAAGTGGCTAAACTACTTCACGTTGCAGTGAAGGAGCTGCGTGACGTTCCAGCTTCTTCCTGGTTCTGTGTGAGAGGAAGTTCAGGAAGAGTTTTTGCGTCGGGTTTCCCTGAGGCGAGGACTCTAAGGAGAGGTGGGCTGTGGGTTTCAGATGACATCGGCGTCCCAAAGCGGACACCGCACTGTGACAGCAAGGGCTCTGACTGGGATTGTTTTCTGAGGCACAACCGCAGACTGGACGCGCTCTTTGCACTTCGCTTTCCTGTTTGTTCTTGGTGACCGTGTGAGGCACGTAGGCGTGAGGGAACCGGAGCACGATTTGGGAAGCCAGTACCCTGCGCGGCCGGGCCGGGCCGGGCCGGGCCGTCTTCTGAGTTTTCGAAAACACGTCGGGATCGCTTCCCTCCGTGCACTTCAGACGCTCCCGCTGTGGAAGAGGGTTCATCATTCTTTCAGATGTTCTCACTTTCAACACTCGACCACACCCAGCTTGTCATGAAAATGTAAGCATGCTGGATTCTGTGGATTAGCATCATAGTGTTTTTATGAGCCGTGGGGGCGCATGCTAAAGGCAAATGCGAGCCCAGACCCTTATTTTCAAATTCTTTTACTTGAAATAAAGGAGCCTCTCAAAATACCCATCTGTTATGGAAAGGCATCAGGGCCTTGGGCTGGAAATGGTAGTTTGCATATAAAGCGCATTCGACTTTCTGTTTATTTATTTCTTTTTTAGTTTTTAATCTAAGCATTTTGGATCTTCTGTTGTACTCAAATCTAGTTACTTAAAAATAAAAGCCTAGTTTAGTCCTACAGTATTACATGCAATCTAGTTGAATCCTCTCCACTTTCTGGAACTATCGGTCAACTGTTATCCCGTGACGGAAATCCAGAGGCATAGTTTTCACATGGTATTGGTGGATTCAGTATTCAAATCAAATTGTAAACACTGTGCACTAACACAGCGGGCCCTTTTGTTTGGGGGCAATTTGCTTAGAATTTATGTGTTTCTCCTAAGTTCATAAAAAATGGCATTGGTCGTCTGCCACTTGCCACATCAGAATATCCCAACTTTCCTGGAGCTGCCGAGAAAACACCCCCACACGCTCACACACCAATCTAAAGTTCAGGTCTTTTTATAGTAACACAGGCAGGCATATTAAGTTATTATGCCACGTTTCTGCCAGGTTTCGGCTTTTCTGAATCCTCTGTGATAAAGCAAGCAGAGCAGTCCCCTTGTCCCGCGGCTGGCCGAGCGTCCTGGGAGAATGAACGCCCTGTTAACCAAGGCGACGCCTTGGGCGGGTGGGCAGGCAGGTAGGTGAGGTGGCGCTGGAGAGGAGGGCAGCCAGGCGGCAGGCAGGGAGATGGGGCAGCGTGGCAGTCGAGGCCCGGGAACGTCCCTCCCAGAGCTGGAGGTGGGGGACTCATGTGTTCCTGGTTACGAGCCTGGGTTCAGAGCGCTGTTCGTTCTGCTTTTAATCCCACGGGGCGAGAGCCTCTCTCAGCTTTGAAGTCCCAGGGCTGCCGAGCAGGAGAATCCTCTGCATCAGCTTTTGTCATTCAGACCTGACCCGAAGGGATGGCGAAGCCCGCGTGTAGCCGAGCGAAGTCTAGTGCGTGAACAAAGAGATGCTGTTGGCGTGCACGTGTGTTGTCTGTAGGGGTCCCGCTGGTTGGAGTGGGTCCCTGGCACTCCCCTGCAGCCTCTCATTGCTCCCTGCTGCTAAAACGTGCTACGCGGGCATGGGTACACGTGCGTGTGTGCGTGTGATTTTGTTTGTTTCATTTCCTGACCTGTACTTAAATTCAAGTCTTTGGCATTCTTGGTTTCCTTAGAATCACTTTGGGGCAGCTCTTTGATTGCTCGTCTTTCCAGGGTGTGGACTGGGTTTCACTCCTTTTGAAATGTTTATCCTGAAGCGACATTTCTTGAGACTGTTTCTCCTCCAGTGAACACAATCAGCTTTTGCTCTTCTGCACCTTATCGCTGTTCTCATTCTTAGGCAATATTGAGTTTGAGGAGAGCTTTAAGATACAAAGAAAAAATGTGTGTCTCCCTTATCTTTAGCTTTCGTAAATATTTTTTTCTAAATCGATCTCAATTAACTTTGATTCCTTTCTTTCAAAAACCATGTGCTGAAATAATGCTTTGCCAGATGTGAGAGTAGACTCCTCCCCCTCTGAGCACAGACTGTAGCCTTGTCTTCTGATATTTCAGTCCATTTTCAAAATCTCACGCTACATTTATTTGGTCATTAGGTGTATTTGTGAGAACTTCCTAATTTCTCTCGGGGGGGGGGGCTACTGATACTGTAACATTGTTACTCTTTTGGTTGTGGAAGCCACTTTTTTGTTTGTAATTTTGAAATGAATCTGTTTCTTATATCTAACCCACGTCTGCTAATTTCTGATACAAATCACACATCTGTTCGTGTTTCCCTTCACGGGTGAGCCAAGGCCAACATTACCTGGTACATCTCTCCGCCCTGAGCCCCAGTGGAGCCTGCAGCCCCGGCCTCGATCCTGTTCTGACTATGTAAAACTATTTTGCAAAAATTACTTAAGAAGCTATCATTTTTGTCTTGACTACTCAGCACAACTCCCCAAGTCCGTGGTGCCCATCTGACTTTGAAACCCTCATCTGTGAGTTTAGATTCCTTAGACTCATTCACTCAATTTGTGGATAGACGAGAGAACCTTGCAGCTCAGCTGCCCCGATGCCAACCTGCCCGTTTCTGCGCCCGCAGCCGGGCTGCTGCCTCCTGCTGTTGCTGCCTGTCAGTTGGTGTCCTCGGTGCTGCTCTGTGTCCGACGTGCCTGCCTTATCCCCTCCCCCCGCACCCCTGCCCCGACCCTGGTTCTGGCTCTCTGTCTGGCACAACCTATCCTTCTGTAGATTTGGTGTTACTGTTTAAACCCTTGGCTTACCCTTCCCTACAGTATCACAGGGCTATGATTTCTAGGGGTTTTAAAGGAGTCGGAGGCGGTGGGTGGTACCTATACACGGGCCCCTGGCCCTCAGTCTGAGAGCCAAAGCCTTGAGCTTGTTTTTTGTCATTTTCCCCACTCACTGATCCACAGCATGAAGTTCAGGCGCGTGGGAAGCTATGAAAGAGGTTGGTCCTTGGGTAGGTGGGGGATTGCATGGCGGAGTGCACGCTGGGTTGGATTTGTGAAGTTGCCGTGTTCTGTAAAGATTCCAGTACTTCTGAGTAGAGAGGGGGAGGTCTCTATCTTACAAGCTACTTCATGGGGCTCTATTACTAACGGGGAGCATCCTTATCTGTTTAAATACCACCTCGAAGAATAAGAAGGGAACGCGATGTAATAAACACATACCCCAAACCAGGAAATGTACGAAGGGCACCTTGGGTTGTGGGGCAGGAGACATAGATGATCAAACACAAGGCGACGTCCTCACTGATGCCCCGTTCACCTTGGGCAGCTCCCATCAAGGTCTGGGTCTTTCTAGATCTCAGATTTCCTCATTTGGAGATGAGAAGTTCAGACAAGGCAGTCTCTACAGTCCCCTTCCTACCGCCCCCACCCCCACCCCTGGCTCCAAAGTTTCCACTTTTAAAAAAGGTGAGACCCAACCAGCATTCATATCTCACTAGTTGAGAGCAACGCTGAGTTTGCCAACGGACTGAAATAAAAATGAGCTATCACATGAATTTCTGTGTGTGTGATGGAAGCCAACATTGGATCATCCCACAGTTATTTTGCGTGATTGCTGTGTGGTGTATCATTGATGTAGCTGAAGTTTCTAAGTCAAATTTCTTTGCTGAATTGGTGGTAGACTATTAGCCCAGCCACAGGCTGGCCACTTGTTTGACTTAAAACCACGAACAAATGATCCACCACCACCAAATTTCTCTCTCTTCTCACCAAATCATGCACAAGAGCAAAGATGTCAATAGGGAGGAAGGAATTAAAAAAAGAGTTCGTTGGTGATCCAGATATTTTAAACATCCTGGTATTTGAAGGCATCTGGATAATTCACAGCTTTTTTTTTTTTTTTTTTTTTTTTGGTTCATTTATCATCCAGATGTTCGCCATCATGGAAGCACCACTTGCAAGCCTATTGCAGCTAATAACTTCGAAGTGGAAAAATTCATATCTTTGTGTGCTTGTCCTTTGGTGCTCTGTTTCCCCCTCACTCTCCTGCTAAGTACCTCTTCCTTAAACTCTCCTGGGAATGTGGCAATTTCGCCAGATGCTTAGGTGTGAGCCGTCACTTTTCTTTTTTTAATCTTCACGGCCATCCTGTATCCTGTCTGCTTGAATTATAGATTGCATTTGTCAAATAATGACACATGCAATTGGATGTCTTCTAAGATCTTTGAAATTCAACTTCCTTGAGTTGAGATTAAAGTGGGTCCTCTCTGCGCCGCTGCACTCAATCCCGGGCTGTTCGGAGACCTGCATACGAGTTTTCCCAGGCCGGACGGTTCCAGCTCCTAGGGTCTGGGAGGAAGAAAACCAGCTACTTTTTCCTTCTGAAAGGTAGACCATAAAGCTGGCTCAAATGTGGTCCCAGTTAGAAGTGCCTCTGAAGGCAGCAGCTCTGTGAGCCACGCCTCTCCTTCCGTGCGTCCTGACTGTGTGTCTCTTTGGGCATACAGGAAGCACTATCAGTCGTGAGCGAGGACCAGTCGTTGTTTGAGTGTGCGTACGGAACGCCACACCTGGCAAAGACGGACATGACCGCGTCCTCCTCCGGCGACTATGGACAGACATCCAAGATGAGCCCGCGCGTCCCCCAGCAGGACTGGCTGTCGCAACCCCCAGCCAGGGTCACCATCAAGATGGAATGTAACCCTAACCAGGTGAACGGCTCAAGGTAAGGAGACCCCTGATTCTTGTGCTCCCTGTTTCCCTGCCCCTTGTCAAGGCCCAGTGGAAATCAGCCATGAGCCTGCATAGAGTGAGGCCACTGAGCAGTAACATTGGCCGATGTTGAGAAAATGTTCTCCCATGGTTTTGCGTTGAGGACGGAGATTATAAAGCTGGTAGTGTATGTACCAAGAACTCGCTTTGAAGATGTGGTGTTCAATTTTCCAGGCGTGAGGGCGCGGGGGCGGGGGGGTGGGAGGGGGGCGTGAACACATGTGGCAGAATTCATCTCGGAGGTTTTTATTATCTGGGAAGTAATGCTGTGTTATGTTTTTATGGAGGGAGAGTGTCAGCTAGTGGCCAGGCAGCGTAGCATGTGTCCAAGCCGTACGCCGTGGCTCATGGCTCCTCTTAGTCACGTGTCCTTCACCCCCACCCTCCCGCCCCTCGTCCCTCCTCTGTCCCCCGCTCTGCGCACGCTGCTTCTGCTCACCTTTGTTACATGTAACGCTGAGCCTCCCCTACCGCCCAACCCCTGTGCTGTCAGGTAGAATGTATTGTCAAATGCAGAACGGTCCTTGGCCTTCAAAAGCATTTCATCGGGTGTAGTTTTATAAAGTAAAGTTGGTTTCAATTATGGTATCGTACCCCCTATATATTCAGGAAGAAGAATGTAAGAATCTCAGGGCAAAGGAAGGATTATTTTTAAAAACGTCGCATGATCCGACTTAGAGTTGTAAGAACAGCTCGTACTTCCTAGGGCTTCCCTGTGCGCACAGCTCTTTTATCTCCAGTAGCCCCGTTCCTCCGCCAAGCAGCCCGGCCAGGGGCGCTTGACCCCATTTGGTGGATGAAGAGACCGAGGCTCAGGCTTTGTCTGGCTAACTCAAGACCGCCACTTACAGGGACCGCAGGACTTGGATTCAAACCCAGGGCCCTTTCCCTTCGGGTACAGCTATAATAGGCCCTTTTTGATATGTATTTTAATGCTAAATACATTTTTATAAGTGCTGAAAACCATTTTGTCAGCTTCTAATGTGTCTTCGATGAAGGTACCAAGTCACAGTGCCTTAGAGGGACCGTCCACAGTGACACTGAACACGGCAAAGAGGGAGACAGATGCCATGACTCCCCTGGGCTCTGAGGAGTTGGCTCGTGCTGTGCCGCTGGTTTCTTCTTGAAACTGGGGACGTCACTCTGACGCTGAGCGTTCCCATGGTGTGGGTACTCCATGTGGAGCTCGGGCCCACCTTGGACCCCATCAAGAGATTAATTCCCAGGCTTCAGAAAGGTCCCTGGTAGAAAATGCCATCCCAGGGTCTAGGATACCAGCGTCCTGCGTAATTATTTGTTATGTGCAAATGTCTTACAGGTCAGTCCTGTCCATTCGATAGAGTATTTCCGCCAGCCATTCACTAGATGTAGTGTGGGCAAAAGGAGGTAAAGCTGTCAGTACGGGAAACAGAGTTTGTCTTGTATTATTTATTAGTTGTGTTAATTTTCCATATGGACAACTGTAAACCCGCTTTTGCCCCGCCCTGTGTGTCTGAGACTCAGGAGAACGGGGCGGGACTGCGTTGTGAAGAAGCCGCCCAGTGTGTGGAGAAGAGGTGCCCTGGGGTGAGGCCCGCGGTCGTGAACGGGATGTTTTTGATGGCGCCTCTGATTCCGTGCTCACCGGGAGAGTCATGGTGGGAACAGGACAGCAAGATGCATTTCCAAAGCTTTCTCCTTGGAATGCGAGTTTCTCCCTGCAGAAAACATACGGGTGTGTGCTGTGCGGGGGGCGGGGGGCAGGGAGCACACCTCGGGCCCAGGGCGCCGCAGCTCTCTGCTGGCGAGCACAGCGAGTGCGCGCTGCTCTCGCTTCCAGAGTCTGGGCCAGGGCCAGCTCCAGCACGCCGGCCTGGGCTAAGCAAGCCTCAGAGAGGAGAGGCAGAGAGGAGGGGAGCGCAACGCTGCAACACCAAACTTTCTCTTGTTCTCACTGTGCTGTTTCCGAGTTAATGGGGGGTGGGGGTGTAGAAGCCCGCTGCGAGCCAAGTGCAAATACTGTTGCCTTTGATGTGGGCCTGTGCCTGCCTTCAGTAGCCCATGCCCGCTGCCCACCTGCCCTATGGGACCTCCCTCCCAGCCTGAGGGGTCTGCACAGGGATCAGGACAGGGGTTATGGGCAACCCTGTGCCAGCCCAAGGGGCTTCCGCCCCCGAGACCTGTAGGGCCGAGTGGCAGGCTGGAAACCCCAGCAGGAGTCCATGCTGAAGCCTTGGGCAGAATTCCGTCTTCTTCAGGGGAGTCTCAGGTTGGCTCCTTAGGCCTTCCCCTGATGAGACGCGGCTCACCCATGTTGAGGCCAGTCCCCTTTACTGAACATCAGTGGGTCCTGGGTGTGGCTCACAGCAATACCTCGATTAGCATCGGATTCGGTCTCTGGGTGCAGTGGCCTAGCCAAGTGGACACAGGAAGGAACCTGATCATGCCTGGTGCGCTTGGCCTCTGTGCTGGTCAGCAGTGGGTGGGACCATTCCAGCAGACCTCTAAGCAGTGCCTCCTGGGGTGGCTGGGTTCCTGTAACAGAAGGGGCTCAGAACAGGAGAGGGGTCGCACCTCAGATGAGTGGTTCAGTGGATCGTTCAGTCTTTGGCCTTGCAGAGTACTGAAAGCTGGGTGCTGAGGCAAGTCTGCTCTTCACACCCTGCAGTCAGCCTGAGGAGCCAGGAGGCAGGGAGCACTCAGAACCATTGATGGCAGATTGTGGGGCCACTGAGGGGGTATGGCCTTCAGCTGAGTGAGCTGGGAGAACCCTGGGGGAATTGATGTTGCTCAGATCTAAGCAGGGTCTCTGTGGCCCCTGCACTGAAGCCAGGGCCTCTAGGGACCCCTCAGAAATTCGAGTAAGGGATGGTGCAGACTTAGGGAAGATGGTGGTGATAGAGGAGTTGCGGGGAGGGGGGTGGGGAGGAGAAAGAGATAGACATTGATTTGCTGCTCCACTTAATGATGCTCTCATTGGTTGATTCTTTATGTGCCCTGACAGGGGATGGAACCTGCAACCTTGGCGCATGGGGATGACGCTCTAACCAACTGAGCTACCCGGCCAGGGCCATTGTGGATATATTTTCAAGGTAGAACTGTGTGGTTCGCCAATGGGTTGGATCGCTGGAATGAGGAAGGAGGAGGTGAGGATGAGACCAAGGTTTGGGGCGTATGCTGCAAATGAGGCATGGACACCCACAGCTGGGAATCTTCCTGAGACTGGAGCCCAGGCCCCTCTGAGCATGGCCTCGGCTCAGAGCCCGGGAACGTGCACTCTGCTCTAGTCAACGCCAAGCGCATGGGAGTGGCTCTTGCCTCCTTGCCTGAGTTCAGAGGATCTTAGTTCATGAACTCGGTGGTTGTCAGCCACAGTGACGAGTGACTGCAGACATTTGGCGATGTCTGCAGATGTTTGTATTGTCATAGCTTGGCGGCGGGGGGGCGGGGAGGGCGGTGTTCCTGGCACCTTGTGGGTGGATGCCAGGGATGATGCTCAACATCCTAAACACAGGACGGCATCTCCCCTCCCAAGAAACGACCCGTCTCCAGATATCAGTAGTGTCCAAGTTGAGAAGACCCATGTCAAACCCGCACGCGTTTGGATTCCCTCTGCATTGTATGCTGGGTTAGCGGCTGTGAGATTGGGTTAAGAGAGGCTTGTGGTCCAGCAAAGGTGAAAAAGATTCTGTGAGGTCACATGACAAGCACAAGGACGGAGGGCCCAGCCATAGCAGGGAGGAAGGTGTGGCTCCCACCACCTGGGCACGCAAGAAAGAGTCTGGGAGACGTAATCCTGAACATTGTTTCTACAGCACCTCATGATTTATTATGTGCAATGTATCATCCCGTTTCTTCATGAAGTCTACGAGACGGCATTGTGACTATCCCCATTTTCCAGATGAAGACCATTGAGTTTTCCAAAGCTTTGGTACCTTGCTCAAGCACAGCTGCCGGAGGCCATTTGACTGCAGGCCTGTGCCCCTCCTTGCCCCCTGGGGGCTCTCCTGTAAGGCTGGGCATCTTCTCTGTGCCGCCCGGGACAACAGCGGTTTCTCCAGGTGACCGGTGAGCGCTGTGCTCTACCACTTACCTTCCAAGAGGCGTGAAATCCAAACACTAAATTTCTCGTGTGTATTACATGTAGGAAAATTTCGTTCTGAAAGGAAATGTTATTTTACGGCAGCAGGCCGCTTTGCCTGCTCTCACCGTGCGTTGTCTTCGGGCGGCCGCCCCAAACAAAACCACCTCTTGAAAATAGTTCAGTGTGAGGAACAGACCTGCAGTCTGAGCACATGAGTGGCTCATTCAGTATGTGTTGGGCTGAAATTAAAAATGAAAATTCTCAGCTTCGGGACGGTGGCTTTTCACGCACCCTCTCCGTCGTGTTGGGAGAGGCTCTGCGCATCCACCACCAGCAGAATGGGATCTTGGCTGAAGGCCTTTTCCTATCAGTTTCCCTCGTCTTATCTGCAACACGGGGACCAGTCTCCCTCCGCGCCTTTCTGCTCTGACTCACTGAGATGTGTCTTCATGTGTATTTTTCTTAGGTTTTTCTCTAAGACTCTCTATATTACTTTAGGACAGTGAAATGCACAGCTCTGATCGTATTTGCGCCTTCCTACCTCTGAGCTCTGAATCGGATTGGCACGAACAGTTTCCCAGTTAAGCTCGGCCGCCATCCAAGCTGTGGGTGGCGCAGTGCTGGAGACTTGCACGCCAGTGGTCTTTCCAAACTGCGATCGTGAGGTCAGTGAGTTAGCATGTCCCACTTGTAAGGGGCCTTGTGTCTTTATAGATGTCAGCTCATTGGGCTGCGGAGCTGAGACGTGGGCGGAGAAAGCCTCACTTGGGGAAAAGTGAGGAAGGCAGACAGAAGCGCCCTGTCCGCCCGCCCGCCCACCCGTCCGTCCATCCGTCTGTCCTTGCTGTCTCTTCAGACGTGAAACGGTGGGCCTCATTTTGTAGGAGAAG